GATCTTCCGATTCATGCGATTAACAATAACATAAAAGCGCATAAAGTGGCCAGTTTCATGAACTTAATAAAACAAGTAGAAGAAATAATCCGGAATTAAAACTTGCATAAAATCATAGAATTGGGTTCATAAATCCCACATAGGGTTCCAAATAAAATCCTAGAAATAAAGACTCAGCTACTCGTAATTCTTATGATAAAGAAAATAAAATAAATAAATAGGAAAAACTATGCTTGAATCTTCGTTGATCTTCTTTGCTCTTGAATTTGCGTCCCAAGATTGATTCCCAATTGTGTGCTTGGCTTGGTCTTATATAGGGTGAAGAATTTGGGGAAGAAGGCAGTTTCCTTGTGCAATTAAAATTCCTTTACTGCGCAATTTCGGAGTCTCGGACGGGGGTCTCACAATTTGCACTAAAACTGGGACGGGGGTCTCAGCTTTAAATCTTCAGAATTTTGATATTTTCACTTTTGACCCATATTTTCGCCAAAATTGCAGTTTTGACCCCATACTTTTCCAATTCTTCAATTTGTACCTAAAATACAATAAATCAACTTTTTAAGCACCAATTATCGTTAAAACACACCAAAAGCTCAAATAAAAAGATATGATAAAGTGTAAAAATATACACTTAACAGTTGGGAAGGGTCTGCAGCCGATAGTAGAATACTTCGTGATGCAGTAACCCGAGACAATTGTTTTCGAGTCCCCACGGGTAAGTATTAGTTGGTAGAGTACCAAATAAAGTCAAATAGTTAACATAGTGCCAGAATGTAGGATCCGCACTGTAGTTGATTCCAACTTTAGTAAATCATTCACCTTTACAGGTAACTACTACTTGATTGACAACGGTTATACGAACGGGGAAGGTTTTTTGGCACCGTACAGAGGTTGTAGATACCACCTCGATGCATATGCAAACGGTCCAACCGCACCTAGAAATTTTAGAGAATTTTTTAACATGAAACATGCCAAGGCAAGAAACATCATCGAGCGGGCTTTTGGGCTTTTGAAGTCACGATGGGCCATATTACGTAGTCCAACATATTATCCCATCAAGGTTCAAAATAGGATCGTAATGGCGTGTTGTCTCCTACATAATTTTATACGCACGACCAACGACTTTGATCCGGAAGAGGAAACTTTAGACGAATTTTTGAGGAAAAATCCAGGCATTATTAACGGCGAGGATTACATCAATACTGTTGAGACTTCGGAGGAGTGGACGAACTGGCGAGATACAATTGCGATTAACATGTACAATCAGTGGTTATCGTCTCGATAGTATAAATTAAAAAAAAAAACAATAAATTCCGTACTTTAAATGTATTTCATTGTTTGTATATACGACTGCAACATGGATACTAATGTGTCTTGCATTTGTAATGCTTTATTGTTCCCATTTGTACGTATTGTGATGTGAACATTATATATGTAGTTACAATGGCTGGTTTAATTTGCATTTAATTCAGCTAATATGGAAAGTATTGGTGCACCGAAAAAATGCAGTTCAAGCAAAAACTGTGTCTCCAACAGCAGGCGCTGTTGGACAGTCCTCGAAGAGCAAACGTTAATTTTAGGTTTGGAAGATATTGTGTCAAGAGGTTGGAAATGCGAAAATGGCTTTAAAACCGGTTATTTAGGTACCCTTGAACAATATATGGTTCAAAAATTTCCCGGAACCGATCTTAAGGCCTCTCCCCACATCCATTCGAGATACATGTGTGGAAAAAACATTATGGAGCATTAAGCACCATGTTGTCAAGGTCCGGCTTTGGTTGGAACGACTCAAACAATACCATTGACGTCGTTGATGACCAAGTGTGGCAAGATTACATTAAGGTATTCTTTTATCATACTAAATTCATATCCATTCTTTGAATTTGGAATTTTTTGATAACTGTATAAACTTCTTGCTGCTGCTGCTCCGTGTTTGCACGTAGACCGATGTTAACGCCCGTTCCATGCGGTATAAATCATGGCCGTTTTACAAGGATTGGACTCAAATATTTGGTAAGGATCGTGCCACGGGGGATCATGCTGAAGCATTCACTGAGGCCATTAATGATTTGGTGTCGAACTCCAACAAAGGGAAAGAACACATGTCTAACGATGATGACGAAGTTCCTCAGCTAGATCCGTCAAATGCAGACAGTTATTCTCAATACATGTCCTTCAGCCGGGCTGATGAAGCAACCTCCACAAAGAGTAAATCAAAGACTAAAAAGCGATCACGTAGTGACCCCAACGATGGTGGTTACGCCGAGATGGCTTCAAAATTCTTCGAGAAAATGGAGGCACAAATGGCTGAATTAGTGAGTCGCATGGGGTTCGAGAAAGATGTGTCGGCAGCAAGGAAGCAAGTTTTTGACGCACTAGCCAACATGCAACACCTTACCTTTGAGGAGAGGCTTAAAGCAACTTCTCGCATTTGCGATAACCCCAAATATCTTGATATATTCTTTTGCTTGAGTGATGATCACAAGGCAAATATGGTCCAATTGATATTGGACGGACGTTACTAGTAACACATTCACGAAGTGTACTCCTTTCAGATATTCACATTATCGTGTGTTTAATTATAACCACGAACGAGGTTGTTACATTTCATATTATAATGTAGCTTTAGTAAACGATGGTATTTCGAGAACAAATTTATATTAGGTTGCTATTAATTTTGTTTCTTTAAATATGTTTTCGTGCCATAATTTACTTACGAATTGCTGGTTAGTTATCTAGTTTTGTAAATTGTTGTTACTTGGACAAAGGTGAAAAACAACTTAGGTTTTAATAATAATATCTTACTTACTCCAACATCCGTCCTATGTAAGGAGAAATTTCATAAGCTTCGACATTGAACAAAATTACTAAATGCCAAATTACAAATTAAAATAGTGAATACATCAGTAACAAACCATTAAGATTTTAACAACATTACAAATTACTTAGACCGAAGATTCTTCACATCCGTTCGTTTTCGTTGATACTTCCATATTTAGCATACAAAAATATAATACATAGATATATATATTATAGCCTGAATACACACGTTATATATAACGTGTAGTAGATATTAATTATAGCCCAAACAATGCATAAATCATACCGTAGATTCTAATGCACAAAACGTCTACTACTTAAACTTGAGGGCAGACCTAGAACAAATTAATTGTTTGTTGGGGTTAAGAACTCAACTGTAGTAGGCTTGTTTGAAGCCGTTGAGCTCTTAGGAGTTCCGAAAGGTTTGAATTTCCTCATGCTTCCCGTTTTAGACCGTAAAATAGAGCTTCCCCGAAGATCGTCGAAACTGTCAGCATAGTGGGAGTTTGCCGTGCTAACCTCGGTGTCTCTTGATCCTTCTGAATCAGACACATAGTTAAGATGGTTGAGCATGTCGAAATCATTCTTTTCGGAAGAACTCGATGAAATATTTATTACGGTATGTGGGTCGTTACTGTTTGCGTAAGCAAATTCTCGCTCGGCAACCATCTCAAAAGCCTGAGCGTTCAGTCCTAGACGATCCGCATGCATAGCATGGTTTGGAAAATCAGATCCTTCACCTGTTTGAGGTTGTGCTTCATCGTCGTCCGATACCACCACAATAGTTTCTTCAGCCTCATTGGGGTTTTGCACAGGCTCTGCTCCGAAAATGCACTTTAATGCATTGTATTTGGGCTCCCCGGCGTGGCGGTAAAAAACGCAAACTTACTAGTCTGCATATTCGTGAAATACTCAAATTTATTTAGGTTCAATAACTAACTAAGTAAAATGTAAACATGAAAGACAAAATAAAATAGTAGGATTATTTTTAGCCACGCTTATGAAAACCTTCAACATATGATCCCAAATCTCGGAGGATTCTGAAACGATGTTGGTTGTAGAATTGTAGCGAACACCTTCTTGAGCTAGAATCCAGTGAAAGGTGGTGAATCTTTTGCGCAACAACGTCATCTTTTTCATCAAGTGCTTGTAAGAGAAGAACAAGTTGAATTTAGTTTGAATACCTTCTTGACAACTGAATAGGGCAAGCGTATTTTTCTTGTCACGTTTGAAACAGCCCCGTAACGATTCCATGCACAACAGATCAACGAAATAATCATCGATCTTCTCACTCCAGTCCAACTCGTACATAAAATCTTCGCGCCTAAAAATGGGCTTCTTCTTTGGGGCCATGGTTTTCTACTGTATTACGGTGTTGGTAATGATTTGCTGCAGCCACACTTCACATTGGCTCCTACTCAACCCACATTTATACAAATAATAGAACCCTACCTAATGAAAATAAATAAACAATAATTAATGATTGTAGGTATCGGTTATATTTTATTGTTCAATTAATGGCTGACAAGAATGTTGAAAGAAAATATAGTGCACTCACTCTGACAAAATATAAAAAGAACATGTCAACTACATATACAACCGGCCGTAATATTATTAAAGGAACCGTGAAACCGTGTTCAACAAATGAAATGGAGTAATAAACATAACAAATTAAAGGACCTGGAAAATGTAATAACGAAACCCTAGGCAACCTTCATTAATGTGTGCAAGCATACATCAATCTTTCTTACAAAAGTATTGAATGTTGTTAACATCTACCACCATTTACCACCATTTGTATGGTTCAAGAAACAATGATGAATGGAATTAAGTGTGATACATTTGAGAGAAGTAGCCGTCCAATTCTTAATGGCTGCAATGAAGTGGTCCATTTAATGCATACTAGTTGGTGAGTAGGTAGACCAATTGGTGCACCATTTAATGAGGAAATATAATCGAAAATTGTTGGTGAAAATAAGTAAGAGTGTGACCTAGATGCTTCATATTCTGCTGCAAAGGAATATCAAAAGGAAAAAAAAACCCTCCACATTTCAGAAGCAACTGTTAAGATTTTGTGATTCCATTTTCATTATTTCAATTTCGAAAGTCTGCGTTCTAAATCTTGTTAATACAGTTCAATGTTTTGAAGTTGTGTTTGTTATTCCATTGTTGTAGGTACCATGTCGAGGCCTCGAACAAGGAATCAACGTAGCTTGGAAATAATCAACAATGCCCGATGGCCGTACGAGTACGACGAGTGTATGATCGACGCGGCTGCAACATTTGCTTCGGAGGTTGAAACATTGGAGGACCCCGAGGTGTATGAAGAATGCTTGTTCGAAGTCTACATCACTTTGTGCTTCCAATTCTCACGTAACTTCGACGACATTGCTACGAAGTGTAGGATGAACAGGCTTAGGAACCGGTACTTTGCCTTCAAAGATTACATTGCACAGGACGGAGTAACCTACGATGTTCGAACGGGGTCGTTGACGGTGGACAGGAGCATGTGGCCACTGGATCGAAAGGTAATACGAAACGTTATTCGTTTTTTTAACTGTTCTCGTATCGTATGTCGTTTTTTTTTAACTGATTTGAATGCATGCAACTCCTATTTACAAAATAAATGCTCACAAATAATTCATGAACATTATGAGAGTCCTTAATTATTCTGTTCATGGATTTTTATTTCGTTTGGATGATTGTTGTAATTACCGTTTTTTGGTAGATGAAAGTGTATGTGGACTTCTTATATGTTTTCGAATTCTGCATATGGAAGTTTGTGGTTTATGACAATCCTTCGTTGTACATTTCTTCAATGTGTAAAAATCTTAATTTGTGAATTTTAATATTTTTTATTAGTACTCGATCGTATTATTCGATGGTATTGATGTGTAGGAGACGGAGGAAGAGAGGACCTTTAGAATCAACCGGTTTCCATTATACGAAGATTGCCACTTCGTGTTTGACGTGAAACAGGCCCCGGAAGTCAACTTTCGCGGGCTCGTGGGATATGATCCAGAACTTCCGCTCGTCATCGGTAATGACGTGGCTGATGACGGAGTTGTTGCTCCTCAGGTTGTTGCTCCTCAGCCAAATCCACCCCAAGTTGTGGATCCCCACTATGCGATCTACTTAGACGATCTCTACGATCGAATCCGAAACGAAGGTCGTGGGAACGTTGCTAACAACAACAACGCAAATGAAGAGGCTGGGAATGAAGGTAACGAACCAGCCGTCAGTTTCAGTGACGACATTGAAGAAGCAAATGACTCGGACGGTGTTTGAAAGTTTGTTTGTCCATTTCGGTACTGTTTTAAAGACTCGTTTGTGTTCAATGTTTTGTTTAAAGACTCGTATGTTGTTTTGTTTTGTTTTGTTCAGTAATTGTGGTGTAATGTTGTTTTGTCTTGTTGTTTGACGTCATTGTGTTCATGTTTAAAGACTCGTATTGGTGACTACTTTCGGGTGTTGTTTCGAACATATTGAAGGGCCAGTGTTCCCTAATTTTCTAAGTTCCCAATTTGGTTTACTTATGTGTATAACTATGATTATATGTGGATTTGTTTAATCTCTATTACTAAAAAAATACTACACCTCATTGAACGTTGACATCAATTGTTTCCGTAAATACCTGTTTCATTAACATTTCGTATCAATTGTTTCCGTAAATACCTATTTCATAAACATTTTGTATGCATAAACCCCACAGATATTTCATGTCTCCAACTGTTTCAAACTTACGTTCCTCAACTGCCAAGATTTATTTAATTAATGAACCGAGCAAATAATGCAACATACAATATCTACAGCCCAAAACAACGTTAATAAATATGAAGATTGTTACAAGTTACAAGGACCGAATAATTCACAAAGATCCAAATTTAGTACCTCATATTGCAGCATTGTCTACACCAAAAAAAACAACACAACAACAATAAAAATAACTGAAACTACACTAATTCCACAACGCAGGTAAGAGTTTGAGGGTCGCCTCGCTTCACCTGCCCCTGAGGCCAATTGATTCTCCAAATCAGCTATTTTATGTACCAACACGGGAATCTCCAATGGTATTTGGGACTCAAGGGCATTAATTTTTCTGATCAAGCCAGGAATGATGCTTTTCGATCGCTCGCACATTGCCGAATCATACCAATAGAAAGCTTGGCAACCATGTACCTACACCATGAAATTGCAATACATCTAAATTCCCACATTAAGTTATTACATGTTTTACAAAAATGCAAAATTTCAACCACCCAAACCAATTGATGAAAAACAGTTTGCATCAGCACATCGGTGAAAAACAATGGACCCATTTACAGAGTTTTATATTGCATTTAAATTGCAGCAAGAACATGTATTTTTCAAGTCCGATCTGCAGGGGGAAGTATCGTAAAATTAGAAAAACTATGAAATTGGATAAAAAATCAGTCAACATTAACACCGTTGGTCCGACACATTAATGGGTAAATATGCACTTGAGACTCAGAAACACAAATCCAAACGAAATCAACAAACGGTTCAACGAACGATGACTCCAAAATCTTTTGTTTTCTTTTTTTT